AATGAGTATGGTGGAGAGGTAGTAGAAGGAAAGGATGTTAGTAGTTACAGAGAATTCTTCATGGTAGAGCTCCAACCAAGAAGAAAAGAGGAAGAAGAACCCTGCCAACAATGGTAGAGTCCAGCCAGGAAAAGAGGAAGAGAGTTTTGTTAGCAGTGGCAGATACTGACCGAAGGGAGAAGAGAAAGAAAAAGATTGTACAGTTGCCATTAAAAATTTGATAGCAACTTAACAAAAGAGAGAAATTTGCTTAATTATGAGAATATGAGAACTAAAATCATATAATTAAAAGTTAGAAAACTAAAATTAAACAAAGACAAAAATTAGAGGACCAAAAATGCAATTTAGCCTATAATATATTTGATTCATCTTATTTTAAAAATATTTATTTATTTTAACTAACTTATCAAAAGAATATTTAAAAATAAGTAATCATTTTCTAAACAAAATCCCAAGCAAGCAATCAACCACTAAAAGAGATTAACATCCGAAAAAACCAAAAAAATCATTGCATAAGGCGTTTGATCTGTTTTCATGTTCTAACAATTGATATTACAATTATAAAAATAATTAAATTACTTATTGGCCACCGAGTTTTTTTTTTATTTTAATTCTTATTAAAAAAAATTATTTTGTTTTAAAGTCTACATATAAGAAAACCAATGTGGTTTTTAACTTGGCAAATACTAAAACCATGATTTTGGTAATCTTGAAGAACTAAAAGCAAAACAAATATTTTAAAAGAAACTAAAACATGATATTTTCAAGAACCAGTAACTTGTTTAAAACATAAAAAGTATCACTTTACTTTTATTCATTTTATATTTTCATCATTTCCTTCACAAAATTTTGGAAAACATGAATCCAAGGCGACAATTTTATAAATATAATGAAAATATATCAAGAAAAAAGAATACTCTATTAGAACTTCAAAACAATTTTAAAAAAGCAACAAGAAAGAAGTGTTTGAAATTGAATTTCAATGGATAATAAAAGTGGGTTAAGCTTTTACTTAAGGATAAGGTAGCAAGATACTTAGTAGACCTATGTTGCCTTAGTAGAAAGAAACTTGATGAAATCACAAAACCTCCAAAACTAAACGAACTATAAGGGTTAAAAAGCTTTGAAAGAAAGAAGCGCACAAGGAATAAGGAGGCTTTTGAACTTATTTTGCTTTGTGGTCCAATTGACTCTCTAACCACTTCACTAGGACCAATTCACCCTCTAACTAGTGAATTGACCCTTTGAGCATTCCTTGTCTAAGTTACACGCTAATGCCATCATAAATCACCATCAGACCATTCTTTGTCTATAAGAAGCCATATTCATAGACTATTAGGACCAGTTATTGAAAACCCCACTTACTTTTGCTTCAGCCTCAGCTAGAAGACAATCTTAATTTTGCTGATCAAATATAAAGTTAATATGAAACTTTCAGAATCAATTAAGAAAATATTTTGTCCATCTGATATCTACCCTAAGCAATCCGTTTTAATTGTCATAAAAGAAAACTCATATAGATATCAGTATTTACTTTGCTGTATAACTATTTTATCATATTACATGAATAAAAACGGCAACCAATGATATAGCTATTAGCTAATACTACTAATCTTACCACCTAAATTTGGAACCAAGTATATCAAATTGTGCTTTAACAAATACATTAACTTAGCATATGGTAACTAACTTTGAGCTCATACACAAGCATTTACGCCAAAATAGCTGCTAGCTTTTAAGCACCCTAGCAGACACATCATATATCCAGTATATTAAAGGTTCCATTTACTTCACAGAAAATAACTTCATAATCAAAATGGAACCTCCACGGCATGTTCTATTAATGACTTCCTGGAATTTGACTTATTGTCTAAACATAATGGAAAAATGCAGATACTGCTGCCTGAAGTATAATACCTTGCTTTGAAATCAGCCCCCTTGAACTTTTGAATTAGGGTGACAGGTCCCTAAACTTTCTAAAAGCAAACCCTTATTTGCAAATTAAGTTAAAATATGTGACTTGCATGGTTAATTAATATACATAATACTAATAGTCTCTACATTGTAAATATAATTTTAAAAAATGTAAAACTTTTATCCTCTTTATTTACTTTACATTTCCATAAAATAAAAAATAAATAATTTAACAATATTAACTTACAGGAGGAACTTTAAAAAAAGGATATGAAGAAGTTAGAGATTATCATGTGTATGAATCAATACATACAATGAACATTTTTGTCAAACGTATGGATGAAATGTCGATTTCAAACATCAGGAAAGTTAGAGAGTCTTTCATCCAAAATTGAAATTACATGGTAGCTATTTCAAAATGGGGTAAGGTTTTTTTTTTGGGAGAGGCGCATACATTTTTGTCTAAAAACAATTTATAAATCATAACCATCACAGGTGCTCAGCAATAACAGAACAATACACAAAACCAGCATTAAAAATGGTCACCAAGGATCCTTTGAAACCTGCCTTAGAATTTCAAAGAGTATGGAATCTAAATGAATGGCATTAACCAACAAGAGACAGTAAGCATTCAATCTGATTATTGAACAAAGACATGATTGCTAACTAACTACTTAGCTATTGATATGGTCATATAGAAGAGATAGCTGATGCCAGAAAATAAAATCTTATGAGAAAAGGAACAAAGGGATAGACAAAAGCTAGGTTTTATGTATAAGCTTAACAAAAGCTAGGGTTGAAGAGCATAGAAACATCCACAAGTCCATTTATAGTATTTCCCAAGTTAAATTAGATGAGAATCAATCACTAGTGCAATATTTATTTGGCTGCCAGCATATCTTGCTTTAGTCTCTTCAGATATTTCAGTGTTTAGATACAGGGTCATTCTTCTCGCATAGTGCATACTCTGGTTTTCTACAAAATTGAATTCAGTTAGCGGTGTAGGTTTTACGAACGAATGAATTTTACAGCAGACTTCATTAGAGTATTCATATATTCTTCTGTGCTCATGCTAGGAGTCTTAAGATTTTATAGAATTAAGGTTACCAATGGACAGAGACAGAAATCAATGTAATTCTTTCAAATTAATGAAAAGACATATTTTAGGGTTTCCATACCCTAGAGCTCTTTCCCATGTATTATACAATTCCATTCTAGGTGTAATGTAAATGAACCCTTGAGACAATTGCCAAGGTTTAATCAGAACATAATCGTCTGCTCTTCCTCCAAATTTTCAATCTTGGACATCCAATTATAATACAATAACCTAATAATGTTTAATCTGAACACTAAACAATCTCATGCTTTGCTTTAATAGTTTTAAACAATCCAAACCCATATATCACAGTTCATAAGTATAGTTCAAACTCCAAAGCCCATAGCACCTTCATTTTGGATCTACATAAACACTCAATCAACCACCAGAGAATTGCACTAAATTTTTTAAAAGAAAAGGAAGCAGCGAAACAATCTCCTGAATGGAATTTGTCATGAAGCATGACTACGATATCCAAAGTTATTTTCTGCTTTTGTTTCAACTTTCAAGCTTCAATTCAAGCCTAACATGTACTCAGTGAAGTTAAAAGATGAAACAGGAGTGAAGTAAAAATATAAAGCAGAAAACCCATAAAATTCTAAAGGTAAGAAAAGGGCCACTACTGTGTTAGAAATAGTTAAGCAATAGTCAGTACATCGCACAAAAATGCTGTCTAACATAGTTGAAGTTTATTCTTCCAGTGACAGCCCTAGTGAGCAGATCAGGAACAAGAATTAGTTTACATCAAGGGTTTAAGCTAAGGCAAATTATGGAAATAGGTTGATAAGAACTTTGGGAGAACCTCACCACAAAAGCTAGTCATTACAGTTAGAGAACCCAAGGCATTACAAACCCCACACTAGAATCCCATACTTTCAATACCTTGCAATTGGATCCCACATAGGTTAAGTATATCTATGGGATAAAGGATTAATTTGAAAGGATTGAAATCTGATATGATCACAATTAAATCCTATGTCAAAAAGAAACACTAGAAGATATATTCTGAATATACTTCCCGAATTCTCAATCTGTTGAAATAACATAGAGAATCACAATTTATAGAACCCCCCCCCCCCAATATATTATTCTAGAACTGACTAGACTCTTAATTGGCTTAAATAATGACTTTTGAACTACCTTTAACACTTAGACCCATAATTATGAGATTGGACTTTTGTAGGATTAATTAACTTGTCAAATACATAGAACAACAACTCTTGAGTAGCTACAATATGTAATTTTTACTGACTCAACTTCTAAAACTGTTACTTGACACACAAAGAAGACTTCTATATTCTGCATAACCTTGGATCTTGGATCTTGTATTTAAAATTTTAAAGTAATAGAAAATTGGATGAGGTTATTTGATTCCAAAAAAACTCAAAGAAAAGTCAAGGATAAAATCAAAGAAAGTAAAATAACTCATTGTTGCCCATACTTGTAATCTGAGAACTTTTTGCGACTGAAATTTAAGAACAGAACTACAAAATAGAAAATAGACTTAATCTAACTTAAAAAACAAGCTTCTGTCTCAATTAGCACCAATGCAAATATTTAAGATTTGACTCGATGTTGACATCGAAGGTTCAATCCTCCACCAGAACACCTTCCCCCCTATCATACCCTAGGGCTTGCAATTCCTATGTAATCTACATAGGAGGTGCAAACACCAAGGCAGGTGAAGGGTAAAAGTTTCACTCCACAAACCAGATCCTCGTCCAGTCATCCTCCTTAACGAGTGTTTGGTGTCATAAGATACCGTGCCCATATGCACAAATCTAGCAAATTAAAACAAGATAAAAAACAAAGAAAGAAAGATTTTATCCTCGTTGATACAAGCTTAACTGCCAAGTCAAAAATCGATATCGACACTTAAAATATAATCACAGAGCAGAAACAATAGATCCTGCTAACGCGTTAGAACATATATATAAAAGTCGAAGCATAAGGCGTAATCATAAACAAACTACAATTATGCCACTGATAACCCACCAAATTTTATTTATTCCCCTCTGTAATCTGCACTGGATAATATAATCATGAAACCACAAATAAAGCGAAAACAAAAACAAAGGGACAATTATCATCCATCTAAGAGACACAAGACTGTGAAGCATCAAATAAAGTACAATAACAACATCGTGATTAACCAAAATAAATCTTTAAACACATCTTCCCTCATTCATTCTTTTTCTCACTAAAAAGTAATTTAAAAAACAAAAATAAAAGGCAGAAAAAATAATCGACGGTTCACCTAAGTCTGTCTCCTCATGCGCTTTCTGAGTTTCTGGTACTTGTGTTTGTTCATCTTCTTCTTGCGCTTCTTCTTGACGCTATCGGCCCAGAGGGTTCCAGATTCTTCGGACACCGATTCCTCGGGGAAGAAAAACCCACTTGCAAAAAGGGGTTTTGGGGAAAACCCAAAAGGGAAAGTGGGAAATATGAGGGTGGAAGGAGCGGAGTGGTGCGTCACTGGGGTTGGGGCTGGTGAAGTAGGAGAGGATGGGTTGTGAAATTCGAGAATGGGGTTTGGTGATTGGGAGGGACGAAAGGCGGTGATGAATGGAAAGGGTGGGACTGATTTTCTCAGCACTTTCTGAAGCGCCGAAGCCATTGCTGAATCCAAGCGATGTTGCGCAGTCACTGAGATGCGTTGCCAAACATAATAAGCGTTTTGTGTTTTAGTATAAGTATGTTCAGATCCAATATAATGCAAATCATATATAAGTTGAATCCAAAATTTAAAAATTAAATTAAGAAAATACGAATTTTAGAGTATTTTTGTAAGACAAGTTTGTTATTTTTTTTGTGTAATATATATATATATATATATTGTGTGTAAATAAATTAATAAAATTGTTTAGTAAATATGGAATAAAAAAATTATAACTTTAAAAGTTAATTTTTAAAAATTACTTTAAAGATTTGTTTGAAAGTTTTTAAATAAAAGAAAAAATATTTATAAATTTTTTTAAATTATTTTAATTTTATATTTTTAAGTTTTTAAATTTAATTTAAAGCATAATTTTATATTAACTCTTATTGTTTAATTTTTTTTTTCTTTTCCTCTTTAGGGTCATTTTTTAAATTATGGTTATTTTAAATTACGAGAATATAACAATATTAATTTAATATAGTCTTTTATAAAGATGCATTTTTATATATCATGTAAACAATTGTTTCATGTTGTCAAAAATCAAATTTTGCAGATCAAAAATTGCAACTTGCAAGTTATCAAAAAGTAAAAGTGAAATTATAAAAATTGCAATGCGCATGTTTTGACCGAATTAAATTTTAAAAAAATCTTAAAATTACAAATGGCGATATTTGACCACAAAAGAAAATAGAAATAATATTCTAAACTCGTTCATGGCGACATTTAACCAAGGATAATGATTTAAAAATAGTAAAAAATTGTAACTTGTAATTTTTAAGTGATGAATCTATAAATACAGAACTTTTAGTAGTCATCGACCATTTGTGATTGCATACATATTTCTTCTTAGTTTCTAATAATTTTGTGTCTTTGTATAAGGAAAAAATGAGTGTTGCTATTATTGTTTATTTCAATGGTGAGATTATATCAAATACGAGTGAATGTGTGATTTTTACATGTGAGAAGCCAATATGTATATATATTTCATACATCGTATCATTTAAAGATTTAAAGTATTGGCTCAGTTAATATATTAATGTTTCGTTTCCCAAAATAGCATAAAGTGTTATGTATAGATGTCCAGTGTTGATACTTGATGGTTTTATGCAATATTATACAATTTCTATAACAAACGATGATGTTCAACAAATGTTTCATATACATAAGCAACATCATCATCCAAATGGTACCATTGAGTTGTATGTTGTTTTCAAAAATAATGCGGTTGAAGAAGAATATGCAGGGACCATGCTACACACAAAGATAGAATGGGAACAGAACAACAGTGAAAGTGATGACAATGATTTTAAAGGTGAACATGGAAGCAAGGAAAGCCATGAAGATTCTGACGATGATGATGATGATGATGATGATGATGAGGAGGAGGAGGAGGAGGAGGAGGAGCCCCATCTAGTTGGTCTACATCCATATGGAGAGCCACAATTCATGCGTGATTTAGATGTTGATGTTATGAATGTTCTGAGTTTCCAAAGTATGCAAAATTAGGTATGTGTATTTTATAATTATGTAGTAGTTTATGTATTAATTACTTATAAGTAATTATAAACAAATAATCGGTGAAACAAATAATAAAAAAAATACCTAAATAACATAAATACATAAAATCATTAGTAATTACTAATACAGAAGTTACTTATATAGAAATTACTAATACAAAAATTACAAGTATAGAAATCACTAACAATTACATCCTAAAAAGGACGACATTAACACAAAACAGAAATTATTATCCTCTTTTTCCCTTTTTCTTCTTTATTGATAAAGGACTATATTTATGATAAGTTCGTAATTAGGCCTTCTTCTACATTGATTTACACTGATTTATATGTTAAATGTACAATTTAGTATGAAGAGACCACAAGTAGATTTTGGGTGTGTTTTGGACCCAAATTGATGAAAGATTAGAGCTTTGCAGCAGTTAGCACGCGTAGACCCTTTCAATAAGGCCTTGCACAACCGTGCTCATCTGCGAGAAGTCCAATTATAAAGAGCTTTTAGGGTTTTCAAATCCTATAAAAAAGATACCTCAGGTATTCTGTTGGACACACTGTTTACATCTTGGCTTTTGCTCTTTTATACATCTCTCATCCCATTTCTCTTGCACGTGATCTTTGGCATACTCTTAGCATGACTTAGAGCTTCAAGCGATCATACTTGAAGACTGGGAACTAACCTCATTTTAGTTTTCTTTTCTCTATGGCTTTGTTTATAATTGTTTTAATTCCTTTCTTTCGCATGCGTAATTAAGTCCATAGCTAGGACTATAAGAACTATTATTCATGAATTTATGGGATTTTGAAATTTGAATCTATATTTGGTTTCCATTCATGATTAGCTTTTATCCTATTGCACATAATTATAGTCCTAATTAATTATATCGTTAGGGGATCGTACCTCAATTAGTTAATGAACCTATAGGACAAAATGAGACAAAGGATTAGGTGGATCAAACCAATCTTTCTCTTCCAATTGTTATTAAATTAACAAGTTTATAAGTGTTTTATGCTTTCTTTAATTAATATCTTGCATGATCATTAGGTATTAATAGTATTTGTATGAATGATTGATAATTACAAAAAAATTAAATTTAGAGTTAAACAAAAAAAAATAACATAAAAGATTGAATGAGAAAACTCATATACTTAGGTTTCTTTCCTATAAGTTTAACTAAGATGTGTGTTGTGTTATTTGCTTTTATTCATAATTAATTTTATAATTAAATTCTAGTTCGTACTTAATTTAAGTAGGCTCAAACAATTGAATTAAGAAATTCTTAATAATTGGAAATCAATCCTTGTAGTACGATATTTCAGAAACTTATTTTAGAACCTTTTATTACTCTTTGATAGGTACACTTGCCTACGAACAAGATTTTGGCGTTGTTGCCAGGAACTGTCTTTCTAATATTAAGAAAATCTTGAATTTAATTGATTTAAGCAATTCGTGTTTTACTTTATTTTAACTTTGTTTTGTTTATTTTAAAAAAATTATTTATTTATATATTTATTTTTTTTGTTTTATTTTATAATTTTTTAGTGTATGCTCACTCGTTTTAAGTGCTCTACAACTTTTTCATTTGATCTAGAAATCAAGAAAACAACACGTAGGCTAAGGAAGGAGTGCAGGAAAAAAATATGGCGAAAGAACAATCAATTTTGGAGTATATGACAGCACATAACCTTCAAATAGAGCACCAAGCCCAAACAATGACGTCCCGTTTGGAGAATGACCCTTATGGCATGGTTTAGTCAGTTATTCTCGCAGTTCAAATAAGATTCAGATCACCACTTCTTTGAATGCATGGTTCTTGCCTTCCTCTTTCCTCCCTCCTTGGAGCTCGTCAGCCCAAACCTAATCCAATGGAGCAATACAATGTCATCACCCTTAGAAGTGGAAAGAAATTATAAGAATCGCAGAACAGAGACACATGCACGCCCATACTTGCTGAGAAGCACGCCCATGCTGATTATACAAGTACACCCGTGCTTATTGACGAGCACGCCCCTACTACAATAAGAGCATGACCGTGCTTATACAAGTACACCTATGTCAATGATAAAAGCATGGTCGTGCATCACCATAAGCAAAGGTCGTGCTTCAAGTGCAGAGCCTAAAAAAAGAAAAGAAGGAAGAGTCTCTTATTCAACCATGGCCCTATGAGTCTAAGATACCTTTCCCACAACAGCTGCATGGTCACCATCCTTATGATGAAGAATTCCTTCTTAAACCTATTAGGCAAAATGGACATCAATATGTCTTTCATTGATGTCATCTCCAAAATGCTCAAATATGCTAAATTTTTAAAGGTGATTTTGACCAATAAGAGGAAGTTAAGAGCATATGAAATTGTGAAGCTCACTGAGCAGTGCTCAGCTATAGTCCTTAAAAAGCTTCCACATAATCTTAAGGACCCAAGGGATTTTACTATTCCTTGCACAATTGGAAAAACTCATATTGATAAAGTTTTATGTGATTTAGGAGCAAGTATTAATCTTATTTTGTTTTCATAAAGCTTGAAATGCATAAACCTAAGCCGACCTTCATGTCACTTCAGTTGGTAGATAGGTCGATCACATACTCCAAAGGTATAATGGAGAATGTACTTGTAAAAGTTAGGGAGTTTATATTTCCTGCTTACTTTGTATTGCTTGACATTAAGGAAGATGATGATGTCCCCATCATACTAGGGAGATTGTTCTTGACCACTGTAAGGACCATCACAGACATACAAGAGGGAAAGCTCACATTGAGGCTAGATGATGAGTAAGTTGTATTTCAAGTTTTCAGTTCTCTAAAGTACTCCTCTAGAAAAAAAAAACCTGCAACTTTGTTAGCACAGTGGATGTTGCTCCCCCTCCACTAAATTTTGTAAAGCATGGAACTCTAAGCAGAGGACTAAGAGAAAAGCCATCTCAGAAGAAGAGAAGACAGAAGATCAAACCATCTACTAATAAGCCTCCTGACTTAGAGCTTAAGTTTTCTTCTCTTTATTTTGATTCTCCTCCCATGATTAATCTTTCTAGTGTGACAGGAGTTGTGGAGGAGAAACTATTGGAAAAACAACTACATATCAAGGGAGTCACCTCTGAGACTTATGCTTTTTTTTTCACCATGATTTAACATGAACGTCAGGCTCGTGACGTTAAACAAGTGCTCCCAAGAGGCAACCTACGCCTTTCATTTTATTTTATTTTATTTAAATTTTATTTCTTTTTGTTTATTATAATTTTACTTTTACTTTTATTTTTTTAATTTTAGAGTAAAAAATAAGCATATTGGAAGCTCGACAGAGTTGAGTTGATTGTTGCCACGCGCATTTTGAGCTTGAAGGCCTGTGCTTATCACATGCACGGCTGTGCATTCAATCGCAATTATGAGAGAAAGCTTTATATTATAAGCATGGGTGTGCATATAATTTTAGCATGGTTATGGTTCCTCACCAGAAGCTGTCACACCCATTATTATTAGGGAGTCTCTTTCCTTTTATTCTTTTGCCCTTCTTGCATGCATTTAAT